TCTGCCTGAGGCCTCCTCCTGCCCCTCACTTTTAGGGAAACAAGGCTCCCATGGTCCATTCACAGAGACACGGCCTCTTCTGAAGGCTGGATAACTGCGTGATGGAAGTAACTGCCTCTGTCCTATCCCAGTATCTTCCACGTTCTTTCTTTATCCTACAGAGGCTGTTGACAGACGTGCTTGATTTTACAACTCACCCACACAGGTCCTCCCATCCGGGGCCAGCTGCAGGCCAGGAGAGGGGCACTGGCACCGTATCTGTCCCTTGACAACATCACAGCCATACTGACAGTTTGCCATGGAGCAGCTCAGGGCACCTGCAAAGAGAGTGGCTGACTGACTCAGAGAGGCGGAAAACAAAACCTGTAACTGACTTATTTAGGTTCCTCACTTGTCCTGAAATCAGTGACACTGAATCAACAATGTAACAAAGAGGCCTCAATTACCCAACATTCCAAAGAAAGTGAAAAGAAAATGAGGAGAGGGACAGATAGACCGTTCTTCTCCAAAGACATGAACCAGCCCTGCCATCCTCTGGGGAAGACCTTTAATGCTCCTGAAGAATTAAAACATGAATATAAAACTTTATCCCACATAGATTTATCTGGAATTGTTCCAATGGCCAAAGAAATCAGGGAATTGGGGTATTTTTCCAGATTACTCAAGCTCAGTGCTGTTTTTAACTAAAATGTCCAAGTAGCTGTCTCGATGGCCTATGGAACATCTCTAGGGGACAGACCTCCCACTGAATTGCACAATGTTAGACAATCCTCATATCACTGCCACATGCTATTAAGCACACACTCACCTCATTATAAAAAGTTCCATGCTATATTTGTACAGTGCTGTTAGTTAACTTTTTATTTTATAAAGTGCAACCTAGTTAACTGACAATTTAGTAAAAATAAAAAGTCATTACTTGTTGGATATCATGTGACTACAACCTCCATTTAAGTACAAACTCAATTTAATATTCAGCCCTATAGAAAATTTTAAGGCATTATGCATCTTTTAAATTTTCTTTTTGAGACAAAGTCTCAAGCTGTCACCTCAAATTCTTGGGTTTAAGCGATTCTCTTGCCTCAGCCTCCCACGGAGCTGGGACTACAGGCATCCGCCACAACACCCAGCTATTTTTTTTTGGTTGCAGTTGTCCTTGTTGTTTAGCTGGCCCAGGCTGGGTTTGAACCTGCCACCCTCGGTGCATGTGGCTGGTGCTGTAAGCACTGTGCTACGAGCGCTGAGCCCTATCCATCTTATAAGTACATGATAGTAGGAAAAAATCATATACTTCTTACAAAGATACACATAAAAGCTATTTTTCTGTTATTATATTCATTTATTTTTTTCATTCAAAGTCTTTAGGTTATTGCAAAGAAATACAAAAATGAAGTGAGGTTTTATGAATGATTTTAAGTCACTCAACAGACCTCAAGAGCAGTCCCCAAATAGTCACTAAACTATTAGTCACTAAACTAATAGTCACTGGAATTGTCCTTCTATGCCCAGATAGAAAATAGGAATAAATGTTGAAAAAAAGTTACAAAATATAGTTT